AGAGAGGGAGAGAGTGTGTGGGTGTGTGTGTGTGTGTGTGTGTGTGTGTGTGTGTGTGTGTGTGGGGTAAATGATTTTTAGGATTTGGGTGTGAAATTTGTATATATAATATATAATATTTAAATATCAAATATCCGATTTTTGAACAAATAAATCTTTACCCAGATTTTTGAATATTGATCTTGAAATGATGGGTTTTGTATAATTTCCTTTTGTACATTTTTCATAAGCCTTAGTCAACTAGCATTTGATTGATTCCCCATTTATTAATGAACTGGCCCAAAAAATAATGTAATGAAATGTTATTAAAAGGGGAAAATGCAAAAAAAATACACAAATTTTAATGGCCAAATTGAAATTTACTTGATTTTACAAAATGGGGGAAATTAATTATTTCAATTAATTAACGGTAGTGGGCAAGCTTTATTGTTTTGAACTAATGTGGGCTGTTATGTGTGAGGCAGTGTATGTGGATTGTGGGCTAACATTTGGGCTGAGTTAGGCTTTGTGGGTATTGGGTTGTAGATTGGATAATGGATCTAGATCTGGGATTGGTGGATGGGGTTTTGGAGTTTTGGGCTAGGGCTAGGGCTTGTTTGAGTTTAATAATGAGATTGAAGGTGTGACAAATAAAAATAGAAAAATTAGGCCACATACTCTAAAAAGTAACTCAATTAGATTAATACCTTAAACTTATTAGGCAAAATTAGATACAGTAACCTAAAAAAATTAAGTATTTGATTAATGCGTTGAAACTAACTAAAACTACAATTACCGTATTAATTACTTTCAAAACCTCCACACCACAACAAAAATCTAAATTAGAAGCAGAAATCCCCGAATCAGAAAACTCTCGAGAAACCCCCGACTTCGACTTCGACTCCGATTTTGACTCTCCAATGTACTTGCAGAGAGAAAACATTACTCGCCAATTTAATGCTGCTACATTTTTGTAGTTTTAACGAGAGTTTCCCATTTGAACGATTGAGTGATTTTGGGGGGTGAATCTTGAGCGAAATTTTTTTCTTGCACTGTAAATCCACGATTGTTAGTAAATCTTTGTTGATATTAGGTCTATTTTATCTATTTCCATGCTATTAGCAGCCCATGACAACTTGTTTGATGTCCAACTATTAAATGTAGCTTTCAGTATTACAAGCAAACACAGCTGGAAACCATAGCTACTGAAAAGGCTGCAGCTGAGTTTAAGTTGGAGAAGGAAGTAAAGCGGCTTCAGGAAGCACAAGTCTGCACGTGGCCAATTTTGTTTTAAATTTTGTTATCATTCTCGGTCATGATTATACATGTGTATGTGGAGTGTATATCACCATATAACTTATAGTTCAAAACAGTTAGAACCTGAAAGAGGCAGAGCTTCTCGTCGAGCATCATCATCTTGTGAAGAAGATGCTGACATGGAAGCACTTGAGTATGTGCCCTTGTTTAATTTCTTGCTATTATATTATGTACTTCAGTTAAAATGCTGTATAATATATGTATTAAGAGAGGGCAATAGTTTCACACGAATCAAAGTCATCCAAGAGAAAATCTAGGAATATTGAAGGAAATTCAAACTTGAAGAATTACACTAATGAGTTTGAATGTAACATTGAATAAATATTGTTTTTGAAGTTGAACTTTGAATTTCAATAGTTTTTTCGTTCATTTATATTTGAGGCAAGTTTGGGCATAGATTGTGATGAGTTTGTGTATAAATGCATAAAAAGATTGTTCTTTAAATTTGGGATTAGCTCCAAAACTGTGGTAAACTATTTCCCTTTGATTTTCTGAGATATTTGATGATGTTTGACAAAATGTCTCAATTAGAAATGTTGAGATTTTGTTGTAGTGAGAGGATTTGTATCCAGATTTCTTGCTAACTCTATGCTCTGTTTGCATCAGATATGGATCTGTAATAGGGATCGAGTTTCCTGGGAGACTTAATAGCATCAGACCTAGGGTGAAATGCACTTGCCAATTCAGATGTTTATGAGCCGAAGCTACTATTTTCAGCTTCTGAGTAAAGCCAAACGTGCATTAGTGAATATAAGTTATTATAATATTCAACTATACGCTTTTGTGCCAAATTTTTTCCAATTTAATGGTTTAGCCTACTTAATATGTTAGGTCAGAATCCATAATCAAGGAGCTCTTTGGAAACACTTAAGAATCAAATTATCAATCCAAGTTGAATTTGCAATCTGTTTTTGACTTGTTTGGAATGTTTTTTCACCT